TTCTACAACTGTTATGAATTGTACTGTATATATCTGGTTTTTTTTTTGTTTTGTTTTTTTGTTTGTTTTTGTTTTTTCCGAATGACCTTAGGTAAACTGTGTGGAAGGGTCATTTAACCCCCTAGGGGTCACAACTCAGGGGTTAAGAATCAGTGTTCTAGACCCTGGTAAATACAGCCATTGACCTAGATGTTAAGTTCAAATGATATACTGGAGGGGAAAAAAGTTTAGCTCTAGTTAAGAGACCATCAGAGGCTCCCAATCCAATGACAGCTAGACAGAGCTGTTTGCTTCTGGCTTTGCTGCTATTGGCGAGTACTTTTGCATGAAGCATACATTGATGGGTGGCCCAAGAGAGCTCCAGCAGCACTTACGTAGGACAATGAGCTTCACCTCCTTATCCGGGTCTCCTGACGTATCTCCTGGAGCCTCAATGGTGCAATAGTAAACCCCATGATCCCACCACATCACTTCATTAATCACAAGATCTGCCCCTGTGGAGGATGAAAAAAACAAAAGCAACAGTTATCAGGGCATGGTAGCTCAGGATCTCAGAATTATCTTTCCTAAGAAGGCCTGTGGTAGATGAGAAAGAAGTCCAAGATCCTTTCTCAGACCTTCCCTTGGCACCAAAGATGGAGCCGATAGAAGAACATGCATTGAACCCTACCAGCAGTTTATCGGGATCTGGACACATTGTCTCATTTAATTTCCACTATATATTCCATATGTGGGTGAGGTAGGGATTCCCAGTTTTCTCCCACTGATGCTGTTCCCTTCTCCCAGGATCATAGAATTGTTGGATACTGTTTAAGTAAATGTACGTCTGTTCTCTTTAAAACTTATTTTGAAAAAAAGAATATGATTATATCAGTATTAAGGGATTAGGACCTCAATAAACAGTGTCCTGGAAGCTAAACTGAACACTCTCTGAGGGGTGGGGGAGAGAGAGAGACTTTTAAAAGGTGGAATGAGCCATGAGGGGTCATGGGTAGGTAGGTTGGGGCCATCAAAAATGGTGAATTTAGCTGGGAGTGGTACTTGGGAGTACTTGGGAGGCAGAGGCAGGAGGATCTCTGTGAGTTCCACACCAGCCTGGCCTACCTGTCTGCATAGCAAGTTCCAAGATAGCCAGGGATACCTAGTGAGATCTGTCTCAATAAAACATAAACAAACAAACAGACACAAAGGATGTGTTCGGTCTCCTCATGCCCTCTCTTCTATTGCTATGTGATGGCGTAGCAGTAAGACCCTCATCAGACTTCCCAGCCCTTATAAACACAGGCAAGTGCATTTCTACTGATTATAATGACCTAGGCATGAGTAACTTACGATAACAGAGCATAAACTAGACTAAGCCAGGAACCACCTACAGTAAAGTCAGTATTCCCCATCCTCTCTTCCAAGCGACTCAGCTCTGATTAACAGAATGCACGCAAGATTGCTGCAGGAACTTTCTTAAAAACTTCAAGTGAACACCCTGTCCTCTCTTCTTCATCTTTTCTGCTTTGTTCCCTGGGTGCTGTGAATTGCAGTCTGAGTGTGTGTCCCCAAGTTTCACGTGTAGGAAGCTTAGTCTTCAGTGTGGCCTTGAAGGAGACTCTAGAAAGCTCAAAAACATGGCTCTGGCAGGCCTTGCCCTTCTCCCCACTTCTCTCTGCCTTGCTGAAAACTGTTAGATTACATTCCTAAAGCTGGCCACCTAGGTCAATTCCCTTATTTGGCTACTTCCTCCTCCTGAGGCTGACTACCAAGCCCAGCTATCACAGTATTGAAGGCCAAACATCAAGTCCTCTTTGGCTCACCTAATTAACATGCTCAATTAAAATTAAACAGCTCATCTTAACAGGGGCTTTCTCCTTTTTATCTTTATAAACTGTCATTTGACTATGGGCCACATTTGTTTTCTCTCTATCTAGAGACAGTCCTTTGTCCTCCTGGACATGTACCCCTGACCCCTCTCCCTCGATCCCTTCCCCTTCTCCTGTTTTTGTCTCTTATTCCCTGCCCTTTGCCCTCTGGGACATACAGATCTCTTTTGTTCTGAGAACTTGGTCTTGGGGTATCTTGCGCCACTTCTGAGGTTCCCTACAGCCTTGTTGGAAAGCAGAGAAATCTTTAATGGATGGAAATTAGGACAGTAATTAGGTTCCTTGGATGTGTTGTCCTGAGAAGAGATTAAAGTCATTCTCACACTTCTTTCCAAAGAGAGTTCACAGCAGAATGGGTTGTTACAGAAGAACAAGAATGCTCTTTGTCTCCTGCATCCCCCGGGTGAGCTCTGCTTCTTGGAAGCACTTCTGCAATGATGCTGTTCTCATGGTTGTGACCCAGCCATGAGTCTTCATGAGGCCAAACCAATGGCACCATCTACTCTATGACTTTCAGCATCCAAAGTAATGAGCTAAATAAGACTCTTTGCAAATTTCTTTTCTAAATAAGCCTCTTTTCTTTGCAAATTACCCACAGGCATTTTATTTTAGAAGGAAAAAAAAAAGGTAGAACATCTAGAAAGAAGATGACAATCTGGGTGAGCTGAAATGAACTTGGGCCTCCAAGGATTTACTGGAATTAAGCCACTCTCCTAGGTCTGGACTGTATGTTTCTGATTTTATGCATGAAATCAAAAGAAACTTCCTTTTGCTTAAGTCACTAATATTTCTGGTTTCTGCTTATTTGCAATCAAATGCACCCACTAAGGGGTGATCATGATTACTCAGCTATGCTCCAGATAAGGACAATAAGGATAGAGAGAGGTTAAGGGAGCATACAAACAACACAAAGACAGTGCTAAGCATGGCTGGGTTCATTCCCACGCCTACGCCTCAGACTGGTGCTCTTAAACACTGGGCCCTGCTAGTTTCTCCAGAATGGCTGGAAAACTTCACAGGCTGGACCTCTCAGCAGTCCAAGATGAGCAAGTAGCTCTGGTGCTCAAAGGGACGGCTTGTGCAACGGACTTGAAGGAACATAGAAAATGTCCAATATTTTCAGAATATTACCCAAGGGGTAAAAAAAAAAAATCTACGTTCCCACAAGTACCTGCCACGCTGCCGCCCAATGAAGATCAGCAATGTTTAATGTATACTTTCAATTTAAGTGAATGTGACCAACTAAAACCCAACTGAGTCCAATTATTAAGTGACACTCTGTGGAAGATTTGAACAGGGGCCAGCCCCTCTCTGGTCCCAGCAGGTTTAAAAGCCAATCAGATCCTCAAAGATCAGCCTGCCTGCTGATCTCAAAAACCAGAGAACAGACCTCAGCATTATGGAGTTGCTGTTGCACAGTCGATGGTCATATCTGTGACTCTTTTTTGGTCTGCTTGTCAAGAAATATCTACTGAGGAACCGAAACAAAAACGTGAGGTCATGCAAGACCGGAGCGAATCTTGACTTCTGTTTCCTTCTCTTTTACGTCAATCCTTGCGATGCTTTTTCTCCCCATGATTTTCTAAACCCACCACTTTCCCCATGAGCAAGCTTCCCCCTAGATGAGCTAGAATGATGAATTGCCCACTGAGCACTGCAAACCTGATCCAACACTCCCTGGAGTCAAAAAGAGTTTCTGAAAAACGTCAGCTCAGCAAGACTATTCAGCTATGTTAAGATTTTAGGCCACCTGTGACTTCATGTGGCGGGGTCCTCTTAAATGACAGAAACTCAGACATTAAATATCAGAAAATAAGGATTCTGGGAAGTCAGGGTGAGCCTAGAAGTCAAAATAAAACCCAAGGGGAAAAACTGCTTTTCCTTAGGAGTGAGAACAAGATGGGGTGTGGCCCAAGAGCGGTCGGGAGGAGAGGTAGTGAAAGGTACGACTCAGAACTAGATACACACAAAAGATGAGACTGTCCTCCAGATTCTCCATGGGGACTTCTCGCCCTTCAGAAACTCTGAAGGAGACTGGCTAATTCAAGATGTAAGCCCAGAGGTCAGATCAGAGCTGAGTCTAAGGCAGCAGAGCCATCTGGGCTAAGCGTTCAAGGGCTATCCTGAGAAACTCAGGATGAGTGGGAAAAGATCATATTTAAGCATTACAAAACTGGAAGCAATGGTTAAATTGGCCCTTTAAATAGTCATAAAATAATCACTAATTCCCTGCACTGTTTGGGTACTAAAGTAGCCTGCTATGTGTTTCCTACCTTATAACCAGCAAATATTTTTAAAAAAATATTTACTTTTATTATTTTTATTTGATTATGTGTGTGGTGAGAGAGAGAATGGGCTCACATTTAGGTGTGTTTGTGGATGTTAGTACGGTTCTGCAGAGGCCAGAAAAGGGCATGGGGCCCCTTGAAACTGGACTTATAGGCAGTTGTGAGCTGCCTGAAGTGAGTACTGGGAACTAAATTTGTCTTTGCTGCAAGAGCAATAAGCTCTGTTAACCACTGAGCTCTCCAGCCCCCAAATACTTTTTTTCCTTTCCAATTTTAAAGATTTTGTTTGTTTGTTTGTTTGCATATGTGTGTGTGTGTGTGTGTGTGTGTGTGTGTGTGTGTGTGTGTGTGTTTTGCCACATGTGTCTGCACACCCCTTGCATGTCTGGTGCTCAGTGAGCCAAGAGGGGTTGTCAGGGTCCCTGGAAGTAGAGCAACAGACTATGTGAGCCACATGTAAGAGCTGGAAATCGAACCTGGATCCTCTGGAAAAATAGCTTAGTGTTCTTAACTGCTGAACCATCTCTCCATCCTCACAAACACCTTTTTAACACGGCATATAAAGCTCAGTGCAGCCGTCTGTGAGTTCCATCACTATAACTTGACCGTAATCCAGGCTGGCAGGCTAGGACTGTAGGGCCCTTGCTCAATCCTACGTATACAAAAATAGCCCGGCTACATAACTTAGGCTCACTCCATGTTGACTGCTGGGTAAGTGAATTTCAGACACCGTGTCATAATTCTCTGTGAGATGGGCCCTGCCGCCAGCCCCACTAATAGAAACTGAGGCAAAACAAAGTAAAACCTGAAGGGGCTTGCCCAGTTTCATGTTCCCTGCAAGGGCAGAGCGGCCACCATGCCTGAATCCAGCTGTGTGGGTTTGCTCCTTGTGTCAGGTACAAAGAAGGAACTTGCGTTAGGCCGTGCATGCATTTGATATTTACTGCAGGGTGGGAGACAGATGACTTGTGGTTCTCTCTCAGATGATAGTGAGGGGGCAGGGGAGGAATATGGCCGACCAGCTGCTGGTAGCTGAGCTTCTGAGTGGAAACTCGGCAACTCTTAACCCAGGCCTGTGTCCAAGACAGTGTTGTTTCCTCTGCCCAGGGATGGCAGTGGTCTCAAAGAAGTCACTTGCCCACCAGCTCCTGTTTCTGTTTCCTGTTTCTTGATGTTACAGGCATCAAGAGCAGCCAAGGGGACCTCAGGGACCTGGCGTGTGAGTGGGCCCGGAGAACAATTTGCAATTGCATCAAAGGAGCACGAATCTCAGGGAGCAAAGGAACCAGTGACACCCTGACCTTTAACCAAGGCTGAGGAACATCCTCTTGTCCACAGGCCAAGTTCCAGGGAAGTGGCTTCAGATGGTGGAACACATTCTAAGAATCAGGCACTTGCTTTAAAACAATACAGTGACCAAGTCAGTCACTGGGTCCCAGGAGATTGAGGGAAATCCCTTGCTGACTCAGCCAGCTGAGCCTGTGTCTGCATCCTCCTCAGACCTTAGTTCCCCCCCCCCCCCCCCCCCCCCACGCCCGGTTCTGGATGGTGATCTTGCGCTGCCGGTAATCCACCCCCAGCACGGGCTCGTTCTGCCCCCGCCTCTGGGCCACGATGCGAACTTCCCTCTGGTTGTCACTACAGTCATTGGTGGGGTCCTGGCCCAGGGATAAAGCAGCCTGGTATGCTGAGAAGAGAACACCAAGCCGCTAAGAGCTTTCAGATTCTGTGGGTCTGGAGTAGGCTCTGAGCTAACAGGTCCCCGCTGATGCCTGTGAGACTCCAAACTCCTTGAAAACTATCATTTCCAAAGCCTATCTGAGTCCAACATCCTGATTCTCCTTGATTCATTTACAGAGTGCCTACCCCAAGCTTTTGCTCCAAAGAGGGGTTCACTCACACAACCTTCACAATAGAGAACTCAAAAGCTGTTCAACGTTCTAGGTGACCACTGCTTATCTCCCCCACCAACCCACGTGTTTAAGAACCCACAGGAAACAACACCTCAATTTGGAAGGATTCCTTTGGTGCCAACATCAGACTATGTGGGGAGGCTCGGAGATTTGGGGGCTCCCTCTAGCCCTTACTTGTAAGGCCAGAGCTATAGGAGCCACAGCCAAACCTCCCTTCCCTTCGCTTCATCTCAGAACACCCACTTCCTTCCCCCAAACGTTGTGCCTCCTTGTACTCTCAAACTTTCTATAGGTCTAATCAGCCCAGGCTGAGTGTGGGGCTCCAGGTTCCTCTGATGCCGGAAGGAAGTGAGAAACGAACATCTGGGAAGGAGCTCCTGGCGCCATGAGCATTCGCTGACAAGAATGTGGGCGGCTGTTACTGAGAGGGCAAACTTGGCTAAATTGAAGGAGGAGCTTCACTGTGATCTAAGATGCCAAGAGTGAATAGGCTGTGTGGAGCCAGAGCTCTCTCTATTATTTAGAGTGAGGCAAGGAGCAGGGGTCCTCCAAACAAGGGCCACTGACTTGAGAGCCCACGTGGCTCACAGCTGGTTTGAATGAGGAGCACACAGGAGGAAGGACATGCTAGGTCTTTTACATCTCAGCTGCCTGAAATATTTTTAGAACATGGGGTAAACAACCTAACATTTGCCCTTGAACAACCTGATAGGCAACCTGGGTTCAGTTTAGCTGAAAAAAAAAATCAAGTGACAGCTTCACAGCCGCTTCTTCTCATGAGGACAATTTGTGGTAGCCTACAGCTGCTGGGGACCACGGGCAGAATAGGGATCGGGCTTACTCACAGGCAGAGAAGTAGTCAAAGATGGGGTCCTTGCAGAAGGACTTGAAGCGCCATGTCACGACCACATCCTGGAGCTGAGCCGAGGTGGTGTAGTCACACTTGAGGGTGACCGAGGCGAACAGGGTGACATAGCGTTCTGTGTGTTGGACTGTGACCAGCAAGGACAGACACCCTGAAGGCAAGAGCAGGAGACAATGCCAAAGGTGACCTACTTCTGTTCCTGAGTAATAAAAGCCATGCAAATGAACAAAGGATGCACAGCCCCTGGCCTCCTACCCACCACTGGCTAGGAGCTCAAAAGACACCAGCTCTGGCTGAGCAGTATACAGAAGGAAAGGGCTCTAAGCACAGGGAGGAGGGGGAGGAGGAATTGAGTGAGGAAATGTCCCCCAGACGTTCACAGTCCATTAACACACCCAACACCAGTCCAACTATACCAAAGCAACAATAAAAGAATAAAAGACTAGAGTTGTAGTGGAGTGATCCGGTTAAAGCCAGTTTTCCCCTGTCCCTTCTCTTCTGAAGGTAGTTTCCCATTTGCAGCTGGGCTCCAATAGCACAGCCCGTTCACCCCGGCACTCACAGTGCAGAGGTAGGTGGATCCTTGTGAGTTTGAGGTCAGCCCGGGATACAGGTCAAGGTGGTCAACCTGCCTTTCCCAGCTGCCTTATTTCACTTCATTTCTGGCTTCGCACAGGCCTCAGCCATTCTCAACTTGCTTCCTTACTGCCAGTGTCACTCTTCACCTGTACAGAGCTTCACACGGTGGCATTCTGAGGTTGGATTGCTCACTGTGCCACCCTCCCTCCTCGCAGAAAGTCTTACAGGCAGCCAGGCTGAGAGAAGGGCCTCCCCTCCCCTTGCTCAATGCACCCTGCCCTGTGGGCAGAGAGCACATTGCCGCTTCTTGGATATGGAGGGTCTGAGAAAAACGTCTGGGTTTGTCTCTCGCTGTTCAAACACAAACCTGGGTCACCATGCCTGTCACATCCCACAGAGGAGGCTTGGATAAGCCCCTCACAAGCAGTGGGCATTTTGCTGCATAGGCAGGCAGCATCAACACAAGCCAATGAAACAGCAAGGGTCACAGAAAACAGACCGCGTCAAGAAAGGCTTGAGGGAATTGGGAGCTTTTCTTTCTTTCATAAAAGTCCCTCCTGCTGCCCTGAAACCATCAGGCCTCCTTAAAGCTCCAGGTGTCTTAAGGAGGAGGTAGGTGGCACAGAGGCACCAGAGAGAACGGTAAGAGGTCCATCCACAGCCAGCATCTTAGAATACTTCCGAGGATTCTAGACTGCATTCAAAGGGGGACTTCTTCAGAAGGTGCAGTGGGAGCTAGTGTAGAGCAATGGTACTCAAGGCTGAGTGATGTCACTATAAGGACCGTGACAGTCCACATTGTTTGGTCCTATGCCAGGAGTTACTGGTTCAGTAGGACTTGGGTGAGGCCCAAGAACTTACATTTCTAACAGATTTCTGGGAGAAAAACTATGGTCAGGAGATACTGAAGGTTAAGTCTCCAGGCTTTGGATTCAGACACAACTCACTAGACAAACTTTTTGCTCCTAGCTTCTCTTTCCTCAGCTGTTGATTGGGGATAATGACAGTACTGCAAGCTGAGCATCCTTCCTCAAATACTCCCAAATCTGAAATGGTCTGAAGCCCTAAATTTGCTTTTCTTTCTTGCTGTGTATATGTGTGGTGTGCATATCTCTAGGCTCCATGCAGGGGCCAGAGGAGGAAGGTCTTGTCTATTGCCTCTAGCTTCTTTCCTTGAGTCTCTCACTGTCCCTGGAAATAGCCATTTCCTGCACCCAACAAACCCCAGCAAAAGTCTCCACCCTCCCCAGTGCTGGGGTTACAAGTGCGTGCCATACCTAGTGGGTGCTGGGAGTCTGAACCCAGGTCCTCAGGCTCATACGATAAGCTCTCTTTACCCACACAGCCATCTCCCCATCACCTCCAAAACTCTCTGAGTATCAACAAGACACCTAAAACATTTCTGATTTTAGACTATCGCACTCAGAGTTCATATTTTCAGATTAAGGATAATCCAGCCAATAAAGACTACACAAGTATTCCCAAATTGGAAAACTTCAATCTGAAGCACTTTTGGTCCCAAGCACTTTGAATAAGAGATAGTCGACCTGAAATGACCTTACCATGTCCTCACAGAAGGGCAATCACTGTTCACGTTGTACTCCTGTTCTCTCTAGCATAGCTACCTTCCTTTGTGACTGAGCCATCCCTTTAGAGGGCAGCTAACTGGGTATCTTAACGTCATCATCATTATGTTATCATTATTATCGGGGAAGGCAAGTGTGTGGGTATCAGATGAAAACTTTGTGGAATCAGTTTTCTCCTACCTTTATGTGAGTTCCCAAGGGCGAATTCAGGTTCATCAGGCTTGTGCTCAGAGTCATCCATTCTGTCTCGTAGATGGGGCTCTCTTTTATTTTTTTCCTTAAGTACATCAGTGTTTCATTCAATTGTACATTGTACACTTCTTTGGACCATGCCATGGCATCTTAGGTATTGCAGTGATATATGCATCGCCTTTTTTTTTTTCTCAGAAAACTGAGATGTTTTATCATAGTAACAAAATGATGTACAGACTTCCAAGGCTATCTTATGATGCAGCTTACTGGGTCGTGTGCGGCAGACACAGTGTCCACTTAGAAACGGCAGTTTGTGAAGGAGAGGCTGCTGGGAGTTAGCTCTGCAACTTCTATAACTTGACTTTCCACGAAAGACTCAGTGGTCTTTCTGGACCCAACAGTGGGCTTTCAGGTGAGAGAAGCACCACCGACCCTGGGGAACCTGAGACCCCTCATAGGTGGTCTTGAAAGCTATGTCCATGATTCTGGGTTGAACACTTGATCTTTGGCCACAGGCCTCCTAAGAGCCCTCAGGCTAGCTTATGATGGGTATCTTCTTCTGCTTTTCTCATGTCTCTGAGGAGACAGTAGAATGCCGCTCAGGGCAAGCTCTGGCACTCGGAAATGACCTGGCTAGTCTCCAGGACTGGGCCATGATCGGGATGCCCTCTGACAGTCAGACAGTTTGAGAAGATCTTTAGCAGTCAAAGCTGTGTATGAAGACTGTGCAGAAGCAAAAGATTTAAGCCAAACCTTAGGCTTAGGTAGAATTCATATCACTTATCAGAAGCAGGGAGGGTGATTCAGAAGGAAAGAAAAATGAAAGAGCCAAGGTTCTCATCTGGAAGGCCTGCTGTTTAGGGAACTGGGGGGGGGGACCAGTCTGGCTGCAGCCTAAGGGAAGAAGGTAATTAGGCAGAGCAGGTGCCCAGTGGGTGATGGAGCATGGGGTGGAGTCAAGACATACCCACTGTCTAGTTCAAGGGTATTAATCTCTGATGGCATCCCAGAAGAGCAATGGGAGGTTGGGGTGGGGTGTGCTTGAATGTATTACTCAACTGTGAATGAAAAAACATTTTCAGAATAAGCCTTCAAGAGTTAGGTAGGCCTGGGAAGGCTGCTCCCCCCCCAGGGGGAAGTGATCAAAGAGCAGGCCAATCAGATTATGTCAGAGGCAGTCCCTCTTCCCATTACTATGTAACCCACTTGGACACTGAACTGCCATGGGCTACACCTGTGCAGGGGTTCCAGGTCATCTCCACAAATAGTCCTTGGTTGGAGTAGGAGCCACAGTAGAGGACAATGCAGCCACTTTTGATGAGAACTGATAGACTAAAATCAGAAAGAAGGAGAGGAGGACCTCCCCTATCAGTGGACTTGGGGAGTGGCATGCATGCAGAAAGGGGAGGGAGGGTGGGATTGGCAGGGGAGGAGGGAGGGGCTTATGGGGGATACAAAATGAATAAAGTGTAATTAATAAAAAATAAATAAAAGATTTAAAAAAAAAAAAGAGTTAGGTAGGAATTTGTCCCTGGTTTTACCAGCGGCAGGATGCTGAGAACTCAGGCCAAGCAGACTGGAGCCGCTATGGCCTTGCATGGAAGACAACACGATGCTGTTCTTACATTTGCACAAAATGAGCCCTGCTCCTGTTTCCTCGCCATTGGGACTAGAATGTGAAGTGTCTCTCACAGGCACATGTATTTTGTACACTTGGTCCTTCAGAGGGAATGGTGCTATTGTGGGAGATTCTGAAACCTGAAGGAGGTGGAGCTCTGCTAGAGGAAGTGGGTGACTAGTAGAGGGCCTTAAAGTGTTGTAGCCCAGCCCTGCTTCCTGTCTGCTCGATGCTTCTTGACTGGGGACACAATGTGACACACTACCATGACCCCATGATCGTGACACACTCTGAAAGGACGAGAGCCCACTCAGCATATGGCTCTGTAGGCCTTGCCCTTCTCCCCCATTCCCTCTGCCTTGCTAAAAACTGTTAGATCACATTCCTAAAGCTGGCCACCAAGGTCCATTCCCTTATTCGGCCACTTCCTCCTCTTGAGACTGACTACCAACATCCAGCTACCAAAGTATTGAAGTCCAGCCATCAAGCCCCCTTTGGCTCAGCTAATTAACATGTCCAGTTAAAATTAAAGGCCTCATCCTAGAAGGGGTTTCCCCTTGTACCATTATAAACTGCCATTTACCAGTTGCCCAGGTCTGTATTCTCTCTATCCAGAGGCAGTCCTTTGTCCTCCTGGACAATACCCCTGACTCATCTCCCTTGATCCCTTCCCCGTCTCCCTCTTCCTCCATCTCCTGTCTTTGTCTCTTATTCCCTGTCCTTAGTCCCTCTGCTGCAAATAAACTTCCTTTATGCTGAGAACCTGGTCTTGGGAATCCTAAGCCTGTACTTTTCCTCTCCTACTCTACTGTTCTTAAACTGTGAGCCAACCCCCCCCCAATACTTTATTAGATATTTAGTCACAGCAAGGACAAAAGTAAAGAATTATAATTTTTCTTTTTAAATCATGACAGACCTAAATTGTCCTTGAAGCATTCCTCCATCACAGCTTTCACACACATAGCAGGGAAGACGCTGACAATGAATGACGTAGCCTGGCCAACGCTGGCTAATGTTGCTCACTGACACGTGTCTTCTCACTGCCATGACAAAACACCTGGCAGGTGCACATGAAGGGAGGCTTTATTTTGGCTCACAGTTTGAGATAACAGTCCTTCAGGGAAGGGGACAGCATTTCTGGAGGTGGGAGAACACGGGTGGCGCTCTTCACCCTCTCTGCAAGACCAGGAAACAGAAAAAGGCAAAGGCTAATGTTCCAATCACTACCACCTTTGTGTTCTGTCTGGACCGTGAACCACCCACACTCGGGGGGTGGGGGGGGGCTTCTCCCCTCAGTTAAACCTCTCTGGTGTGCCTCAGTCAGGCTGACAAGGAACGCCGCGGTAACACACCCTGGTTGGAATATGTAGAGAACCCTTTTGGTTCCAAACAAAGCCTTTCTTCACACGGCACCTTTGGGTACTTCCTTTTACACAATAAATGTGATCCTGGAAGGAGACAAGCTGTGTGGACATGCGTGTGGACATGTGGCTTGCCCGTGGTCACTCTACGGGGCTCATTGTAAGGGTTCTCTCACATTCTTCCTAGCTCTCCTTCAGCTAGAGGAGGCACTGGCAATCTCTAACTTAGGTGCTGTGTTCTCTAGTTGGCTGAAGGGTAATTCGGTATGAGCAGTTTACTCAAATCCCAGTCGGCTTTTGTGCACTTGAGAGGGAAGAATGTGTATTTGTGGAGGGTCAGGAAAGGGAATTTGGTGGCAGCCAGAAGGTACTCTGGGGGGAGCTTTGAAGACTGCTGACTCAACCCCCTGGAGGGAGGAGAATGGGATCTGGGGCGATGGTCTTGATTACCAAATGCACACCTAGCTCCACTTACATGAATGCCCTTATTATGGGCAAGCCATAGCTGGAGTGATCAAGTCACCTTTACCAACGTCAGTGCTGGCTTTGCTACGTGGGGACCCAGCTTCTCTGCCACTTCACCCCCTGTGAATCTCAAGGCTTAAAACATTTCAGGTCTTCACAGGTTCTGAGTGTTAATTTCATTCGTACTTCTCCAGAGATCTACGAACCCTACAACGCCCTGTAGGGAATCACACATCTTCACCTCTGCTCTGCCACACACAAACACAGAGATGGTGGGGAAGCAAAGGGAGAGGAGGTACCAGAACACTCTCATACCTTTGTGTGCTTGCTGCTGGTCCTTAGAATCTACCTGGTACCAAGTGATGGACGGACAGTCCTTTTTTTCTAACACCCGCCTCCATGATGGAGCTTAGCTCTGCTCTTTCATGTGGACAGGGGTTAGAGGGTATAAACCAATACTCCACGTGCCTGAGAGTTCACATCTAATTTAATAAATACCAGTGTTGAAATCAAACTCAAAACCACAGTGCTTCCTAAATTAGCAAAGGTCCTCTTCCAAGTGGACATCAGGCACTAGACCCCAACAAGCAGTAGAAATGTTCAGATAGGTAGAGAAGAAAAGGAAGCAGCAATTAGTCCATCTCAAAAGCAAGATTGTCCCACCTTCCCTTTTCTTTAGATTCCACCTTTTACTCTGCAAAAAGAACCACACTGGACATCCACAGTGATTAACCCATGAGGTTTTGAGGAAGTGACCTGAAGAACCACAGAATCTGGGCTGGAAAAGTTCAAATTCAAATGAGAAACCGTCTGATTATGGATGACCTCATTGCCTGTTTGTTCTTTCAAACTTAGTACTAAAAGGCTTCAAATTCTCATTTGTTTGTTTGTTTCGTTGGTTGGATTTTTTCGGCTCTTTGGTTTTTTTTCAAGACAAGGTTCCTCTGTGTAGCCTTGGTTGTCCTGGAATTCGCTTTGTAGACCAGGCTGACCTCAAACTCACAGAGATCTGCCTGCCTCTGCCTCCCTGAGTGCTGGGGTTAAAAACGTGTGCCACCACCCCTAGGGAAGTTCTCAAATTCCCTTCATCTTGTGACCCTTCCTATGCCCAGTCTGTCACCTAATGTCCTAGCTCTAAGTATCATTTTCTCTTGCAAACATTAAAGTCTAGGGCCTGATTGCCTACAGTCCGAACCTAACACCCTCTTCTCCATTCTAGAAACCTGATGAGTTATTTCAAGCTACGGGACATTAGACAATGGCAATATCTGTCTCGTACTAGAATGATACATGCCCCCAATAAGCAAAGATCCTGGCACATAGTGGATGAATGAGCATGAGCCATCTGCCATGTCCTCTGTGCGTATTTCATCTAGATTAAGAGGTTAAGATCACCTAAGGCCAGAATGTTAAAGACAACCCTCCCGAAAGAACTGAAATAGTGCAGGTGTAAGCTGCCATGATAGCCTCTGCTCTGCAAACGCAGTTAGCGAACTGAGTGTTCTACAGCTCTGCACCCCAGCAAACCCATTCAGAGTTTGCCACTTCTGTGAAAGAGGAAGGGAGCAGAGACCTGTCATTTAGGGGTAGAATGGAAACTTCAGA